GTTCTGCTTGGTTGATGCCGTATTTTCTTCGTTCACGATAGATTCAATACCATATGAATATAGAATTGATATATTGTGGATAGACGGATAATATTGTGAAAGTATGCTATTTATATAAATGATCTATTCAATTAGAACCATAGATAATTCGAATTGACAAGTATAATTACGAACTCAATAAGATTAATAAACCGACCACAAACCTCTGAATCTTCACCTCCTCTGATTATAGTCCAAATCACATCTTCTTGCGTTCTTGTTAATTTAGTGATTACTTGTTTAATGTTTGCAATAGTAGATTAATAGAGAAAAAAATCACATTCTTAATTACCTTGAACAGTGAATTGATTTTAATTAGCCTAGTTAACAATTTATCTAAACTTTTTTGGGTTCGACATCCTACTTTCGAAACACTTTATTATTTAGCACGTATACTCAGAGAACCAACAATTATGCTCATTAATTACAGACAATTTGACTCGCTTTAACCCTTTTTCTCCAACTTTTTCTAATGTAAATATTTATCTGCCATCGACTTATAAGTTACCAAATAATTTCAAACTTATATATACACGTTTTCTATGCAAAATTAAACTTTTCATAAAGTCTTGATATGACAGCTCAAATTTGCTTTTCCATTCCATGTGATTATCTTCGTGTTATGACAAATCATATTTGTTTTTGCATTGCAGGTGATTGTCCCCATATGGCTTTGAAAATAATGTATAATAAAACTCTCATAAGCAGATTTCACGCACGAGAAAGGCGTTCCCCATAAAAGGCTAGATAACTGAGCCCAGGCCCATCCCTGTAGTTTAACTGTCATACTCCATGTCAAATCGAGGCCCACATAAAATCTGGGAGTTAAATGCCTTTTTCTCAAAAGTTTTAGACCTGAAACTTGCACTTGCAAGTTGCAAGATTTTGACTTTTAAAATTATGGTTTCTCATATGCTTTTAATACGAAGTTGATACTAAGGGTGTGTTTGGTATATCGAAAAATATTTTCCGTAAAAATATTTTTTAAGAAAATATTTTCTTGGAAAAGTAATAATCTTACTCATTTTTCGGTGTTTGGTACATAAATTAAGGAAAATAACTTCTCAAAGAATATTCATAAATAGTTTAGATACAATAAACATGAAGCCATAAACTTTTGAACCAACAACCTTCCAAACCTACAAATTTCATAAACTTCTGAAGTGCTAAACTTTCGAACCCGCAAACTCTATAAATTTTAAACCCGCAAACTTCCAAACACATAAACTTCCGAACTCATAACTTTGGAACTCGTAAAATTATGAACCTATAAAATGAAAAATAAAAAAACCATAACTGAAAATAAAATAAAAAATTGCGGCAGGGGGTAGGGTGGAAGTGGAGGTTGGGTTGGGGGGGGGGGGGGACAAAAAATTGAAAATATAACCAGAAGTAAAAAATAATAATAATTTTTGTTTAGGGGGGGTTGTTCGGGGGTGGGTGTTGAGGTAAGGGGGGTAGTGGTTCAGAAAACACGAAAATTTGAAAACACAAAAAAAAAATACCTTATTTTTTTGCATGCAGGGGGAGGAGGGAGGTTAGCAGGGCAGATAGTGACGGAAAAAAAAAATTGAAACCTAAAAAAAAATCTTTTTTGGAGAGAGGGGCCGGGAGAGGTGGGGTAGGAGAGAGAAATGGGAGGGTTTGGGGTTAGATTTAAGAGTAAGTGGAGTGTTTGGAAAATATTTTCCTAACTTTTTTTAGGGAAGTCATTTTCCTCCAATTTTTAAAAAATGTGATATTTAAGAAAATATGTTTTAAATTATTTTATACAACCAAACAGAACATTTTCCGTCGTACCAACACACCCTAAGAGTAGGTGTTCAATCAATCTATTCGTATGGAATACTAGTTTCACATATAAAATAAATAGTGTTTGGATCCAAAAATTATATCTCCAAGTAAAATAAAAAATTTTAATTGAATAAAATATAAGTAAGGTCACCTACCTAATCCGGATGATTTGAAAATTTCCACAAGGAACAAAGTGATTAAGGCCTCATTTGTTTTTTTTAAGATTAAGACGTCTGAATCTGAATACATATCTGAATATCAAGACGTGCAATTAAGATTAAGACATGCGAATCTGAATATACATCTGAATATATTAAGATGTGTATTAAGATCTGAATAGAAATAATTAAGACTGTTTGATTTTTAACATATGAATGCATAAAATCTATCTTTATTGGAAAATTAATAAACATAAAATTCAGATGAAATACTAACTAAATTAATATTCTATCAATAAAATATATAATTTTGTAAAATATGATAGCTGTTGGTGGTGATGGCTAACGGGTGAATGCCGACTAGAGGCGGTGGTTGGTGGTAGTTTTGGTTGATGATGGTGGTTCATGCTAGTAGCTAGTAGTGATTGGTAGTGATGGCGCTTATGATTGAGGATGGTGGTGGTGGGTGGTGACAGTTAATAATATCGGGTGGTGGTAGTAGTTGTGATTGAGGAAGGTCGTGGGTGGGTGGTGGTAGGTTATAATGATGGACAGCGCCGGTTGTGGTTGTTGATGGTGATGGGGTGGTCAGTTGTGGTAGTTGAGGCGGATGAGTGTTGATTGTGAGTGAGAATGATGGTGGTCGGAGTGGTGGGGATGGTAGATAATGGAGGCTATGATTGAGGATGACGGTGGCGTGGTGGTGGTGGCGGTGGCGGTGGGGTGGCGGTGGCGGTGGTGGTGGTGGTGGTTGAGTATGGTAGTGGTGGTGGAATGGTGGTAGTTGGTAATGGTAGGCGGTAACGGCAGTTAATAATGAATATGTGATAGCATCTTAATGAAATTAAGTCTCTGTTATAGATAATCTTACAGACCTACTCAGACACATTAAGTGGTTGTGAAGTAAGAAAAACAAACACACCTAATGATAAAGGTCTGAATAATTAAGATTCAGACCTTAAAAAACAAACCTACTTAATGCCTGAGATCTGCATGATTAAGATTCAGACCTCCATTAAGTGCAAACAAATGAGGCCTAAGTGAGCGTTTTGACATAAGAATTGTGAAATTTTTGAAAAAAGTGAAAAAAAATTTAAATGAAAATGATATTTGAAAATTAAAGTTGTGTTTGGACATGAATACAACTTGGAGCTGCTTTTGAATTTTTTTCAGTGATTTGAAGTGAAAATTTTGAAAAACAATTTTTTGAAGTTTTTCAAATTTTCGAAAAATTTCGAAATTCAACTCAAGTGAAATTTGAAATTTTCATTGCCAAACACTAATTGTGAAAAAAGAGAAAAATTTTCCAAAAAAAATTGAAAAATTTCTTATGGCCAAACGGGCCTAAATAAGCAAACAGCCAAACCAGAGCTTAATTCTTTTTTCCCAACAAACCAGAGACTAATTAACGTCATGGTAATTTGGTATAATTTATCTGCATGTTGTACACGGTAATATAATGTGTAGTGGAAAAAGCAGTTCAGTCCCGAAATTACTGTTTTATTTCATCTTTTAAACCCGTAAATGTGATAATCAACTAAACGCGTTTCACTTCCAATTAACCTAAGGGGCCAAAATCGCTATTTTCACTAGACTTTGTTGAGAATATATGCATATCTCAATGAGGAATTTTCATAAACCACCATTGTTGAGTGGTTATTAACTTCCTATAGCTATCATATACTTAATTACTTCGTATAGCTACTATTTAGTTATTATGGTAGTGTATTCGTTGTATTCGCGCTGCTGTATTCAAGAATATAGCAGCAAAAAACGCCTAAAAATTAGGCTAGTCCAGCTGTACGCGCATGTATTCACATGTATTCGCGCAATGTATTCATGAATACAGCAGTAAAAAGCGCCTAAAATCAGGGCAGTCTAGTTGTACGCGCATGTATTCACATGTATTCGCTGTTGTATTCATGAATACAACAGTAAAAGGCGCCTAAAATCAATGCGGTCCAGTTGTATGCGCATGTATTCACATGTATTCGCGTCATGTATTCATGAATACAGTAACGACAATCACCTTAAAGATAGGTATGTCCAGCTGTCTATGAGAGAGGAAAAACATAAACAGCGTATTTCATGCCTCAATGGTAGTATATACCATAAATACTTATTTTGCTATAAAATATAAAAGGTAGCTATAGAAAATAATATTTTAAAATGATATTGATTTATAATAAATAATGTGTATACCTTTGCTATAGGAGTTAAAATATCATATCTCAATTACAACAACAACAACGACCAGTAAAATCCTATAAAGTGAGGTCTGGGGAGGATAGTGTGTACGCAAACCTTACCGCTATTCCGATGTAATAGAGAGGCTGTTTCCGATAGACCCTCGGCTCAGGAAGACGGAAAGAAAACAAGAAGAAACAATATATTAGTATCGTCAACAGAAACCATAAAATAGTAACAGCATCATAAAAAGCATAAAATAGATGAGATGCAATAACAATAACCAGTAATTAAGATCCGGAGCTATGAAAAACAGAAAGGATAGTGTGGACACAACATTAACCACTAGCCGTCTAAGATCAACCCTATCAAATCATCCTTCCCCCAATATGGAGTGGAAAAAGCTCGACTATCCCTGGCCTACAGGCCTAATGCATATATCAATTACAAGGAAGGAAAATTGAACTATGTTCACCAAAACGTTAAAGAGTAAAGATTTTGGGAAACTGCTTAAGTGTGCTTGATATTTTTGTTTGTGGTTAAAAATTTCTTCAAATTACATGACGGGTTCGGTTTATAATTACAAAAAATGTCGTCTTACCAAAAAAAGAAACATGAAGATATATCCCTGCTGGCTATGCCCCCATCAAGTTACTATAAAACAATTTTCATAAAGTCAGACCTGAATTATTTAATCTATGTGGTCCACGATTTGGCGTGGTACATCCTTTTTTTTTTTTTAAAAATTTGTTAAAGGAAATTCGTTCTTTCGTTTCTTATCCTCCTATAAATAGCTCCTTCTATTGTTTATATATTGTATCATTCCTCCCCTTCTAGATTTAGCTACTTTTCTTAAATGGCAAGTGAGATGAAGATATGGTTTGTGTTGTTGACTGTATTGTTAGTCTTCATAAACTTAAGTCCATTGTTGGTAAAGGGAGAACAACAGGTGCCTTGTTTGTTTATTATGGGAGACTCTTTATTTGATAATGGAAATAACAATAATCTCTTTACTACTGCAAAGGCCAATTATCCACCTTATGGAATTGATTTTCCTGATGGTCCTACTGGTAGATTCACCAATGGCAAGAATACTGCAGATTTCATTGGTCCTAACTTCTTCTTCTTCTTCTTCTTCTTTTTACATTATTAAATTTTAATATATCCTTCATTGAAATGCTAGTTTCGTTTAATTATCTTAGAATACGCTCTAACAATATTGCATGATGCATATTGCCTGTTAGTAATGGGCTAACTATATGGATAAAATGTCTAAAATAGACTCATGTAATTATATCGTCTTTCATTCGAATTATTAGCTATTAAATTGTTAGCACTATATAAGAACATTCCATCGAGAAATCGAGAATAGTTGTTATACAAATAAGAAACTCTCTTAGCTGTTATATCGCACGATAATTATGGACATTTTCGCAGTAAAGATTAACCAAAGCAACATTATTTCTAAACATTTTAGTGGTGAATCCTTACTATATATTTCCTATATTTGCAGCGGAACTATTGGGTTTTGACAAGTATATTGAGCCATTTGCAACAGTGAAAGGTGTGGAGATGTTTAGAGGGGTGAACTATGCATCTGGTGCTGCTGGAATTCGTGATGAGTCGGGAATACATTTGGTAAAATACTTCTAACATATATCCCTCGACTAGAAGAGCATTTGCAATAAGATTAAGAACAAACAACAAATAACAACGTACTCAGAGACGGATCCAGGATTTGAGGCTTATGGGTTCCTACCATAATTTTAGATTAATATGCAATAATAACTGGGTTCATAGTTAGATATTTACAAATATTTTGTGAATTTCTTAAAATAAATACAGGGTCTACGCAAAAGTTACTGGATTCCCGGGGAAGTCTAGGTCCGCCCCTGAACGTACTCCCTCCGTTTCAATTTATGTGAACTTATTTGACTGAGTATGGAGTATGTTCAAGGAAAGAGAGAAGACTTTTGAACTTGTGTTGTAAAATGAGGCACATATATTTTGTATGGCTATAAATCATTACATAAAGGTGAATTATTTTCAAATAGGACAAAAGATCATTCTTTTTTGCACGAACTAAAAAGGAAACAGATTCACAAACAAAGGGAACTTATGTCCTAGACTAGAGTTGTACGTTGGAGTTCACGCATAATTTTCCTTTCCTACAGGGTGACAAAGCCCGTTTGGACATAAGAAATGTACTTTTTTTCGAATTTTTTTTACCTTTTTTTCTAAATCAATGTTTGGTCATAAAATTTTTAATTTTAACTTGAATATGCACTTTGGAGTTTTTCGAAAATTTGATAAACTCTAAAAAATTTTACTCAGATCACTCACACAACTTCAAAAATACCCCAAAATTATATTCACGTCCAAACACAGCTCTAGTTTTCAAATACCATTTTCACTTGAAATTTTTTTTCACTTTTTTTGGAATTTTGCAATTCTTATGTCCAAACACCCACTAAATCTCGTACGTTCTTGTTTGCGTTTGCATGAGACTCGATCGATCCCTTTTTTTTTTTTTGGATAGAGGCCAACTTCAAGCTGTTGTTAAACACGATCTATAGCATTTAGAAAAGAGTTCCACTTAACTCAGATTTTTACTCAAAAGAGTTCCAGTTTTGGTAAAAACAAAAAAAAGAAAAGAGTTCCAGCTAATATATATAATTTTGTTCGCAATGTCACAAACAGACATCAACTTGAAGGTTGAAAGTTAAAACCTCTTTATTTTCAAGTCAACTCCACAAAAAAACACGTCACAAAGAATTATTTTCGGTAACTATGTTGCCAAACTACCTACTATAGGGAGTTTGGCAACATAGTGACCATAAATAATTCTTGATGATTAGGCTAAGCTAACCACTTATAACAAAAATTTGTTAAAGTAATTAAGAAGAATAACCAAAGGACAATTTACATTCTTTTAGTAGATTTATCGATGCCCATGATAACTCCAAGAAAAATATTAAAGAACTCAATTCATTTTTCATTTTTATACTTGTTTCTGGATTTTCAAGGAGAATAAAGATAATGCGTTTTATTAATTCTTACATTTGTAGCTGGATTGCCCCTAGGCTAACTTAACTTGAATCTCTTTCTTTATTTTTATTTATTTTTATTTTTTTAATTTTCAGGGAGATAGAATCAGCTTGAACAGGCAATTGCGAAATCACAAAGAGACAATTTCCCACATGTCTACTTTGCTTGAAAATAATATGACTTTAACCAAAGAGTATCTAAGCAAATGTATATACATTGTTGGAATGGGTAACAATGATTACATCAACAACTACTTGATGCCTCAGTTCTATCCATCAAGCCTTTTGTACAAACCAGAAAAATATGCCACAATCCTAGCTCAGCAATATGAAAAACAATTAAAGGTACAAATGCAATTATTTCCATTAATCAACTTCCTTTCATTTGACTTTTTGCTTAAGATTACTAATATATTCCAGTTTTTTTCTTGGAAACAAAACAGACTTTGTACCGTTACGGAGCAAGAAAAGTTGCTGTGTTCGGGCTAGGTAGCATAGGTTGTACTCCAGTAGAGTTGGATTTGTATGGGACAAAGGACTCACCATGTGTCGACTCTATAAATAGTGCAGTTTTAAAGTTTGTGGACAAGCTTAAACCAATGATAGACGATTTCAACAGTAATTTGCCCAACGCAAATTTCATCTACATTAATGTAACAAGCATTGCAATTGGAGATCCTGCATCTATCGGTATGTTAAACATGTCACAGTAAACACTTCCCTATAATTATAAAGAATATATTAATTATCTTAGTAACTTAAAGATCGATGATACTCAATTAACACACTATCATACGTTGAACTATACAGATAGTATACAAATTTTATTTTCATAACTTTGGATGCAGGTATAACAAATTTAGCTGACCCATGCTGTGAAATTTCGAGCTTCATAGCTAAGGGACAGTGTAGTTATGGAGGAAGTGCATGCAGTGATAGAGCATCACACTATTTTTGGGATGGTTTTCACCCAACAGAAGCTCCCAATAAGGCCACTGCTGAAAGAGCTTACACTGCTCTTCTACCCACTGATGCCTATCCCTTTGATATTAGCCACTTGGCTCTGCTCTAAATAATTAGTTAACACATGCAGTCGCGTGTGTAACTTCCTCAAGCTTTAATTTCAATAAACAACTATCTTGTCTACCTTAGTATGTATAATAAAATTCGTCTATTGATTTTGCTTTCAGATAAATTTCGTACAGTTTTATATTAGAGATGAAACTTGAACGCTTAATTACACATTATGGATTTTCCTCAAAATAACAGTCATAAAAAACATGTAACTGATTTATACCGTCGCAGTAGAATTGGGAGAATTAAGATGAATGCCAGTTAACACAGTAATATTACCTATGTGGTATATATATTTCTTGTTGGTTAGTAGCGGCGCTCAAATTACGTTTGTGTTACATTACACGCATGCTGCTAAATTACATGGGCATAGGCATTTTAACAAAATCATATATACTAAAGATTTAATACATTCATACAATTGATTTGCTTTTCTGTAGACGTACGTGACAAATAGTTGGATTGTCCAAATCATTCACTAATGACCTTCAATCATCAATAATTTGTGAGTAAATTGTGTGACCATTATTTAAGAGAAGTCACCTTTAATAGCAGTTATTGCTATTAATTAACACCAACAAACCAACACCATAAACCGAATCAAGCCCTAAAAGAAATGAGTGCTGCTATTCGGCCAAACTCAGCGTGGCCCAAAAATAACCATACCCGTGAAATGTCAGTAATGCCCTAGTTTTTCCGTTTGGCTTAATGGCCCTTTTTTCCCTCCAAAATATTTCCCTCCAAAATTAGTTAATAACTTTTGATTATTCCAAAACATTGATCCCATAAATCATCATTCTCTCAGCATGGAAAGATAAAAAGCCTTCGTATATACGGATGGCAGGCTTCGTATATACGCTCAATTACATTTTTAAAAAAAATATAATTACGTATTTTTGTTAAATACAATTACGTATTTTTTTAATTAAATGCAATTTATACGGATGGGAAGATCAAAGGTCTATTATGTATATATCATACCATATACTTATGTTAAGATAGCTTTCATTAAACACATAATTCACCACACTTCCCTTAACCTAAACATGAATACTAACCGAGAAACTAGTTTGGACCTATTAAACCCGAAAAACAGTCTAGAAACTAGGTCGGATCAACTAAGGAATGCATTACACATATCATTAGGGTTGAATTCGGACGACAGTTTGATGAATGAAGATGAATCGATCGACATTGATTCAGACGGCAACTTCAATGATGGAGCAAATCCTGTTAACGATGCTGCTGCTGCTGCTGCTGCTGATGATGATGATGATGATTACGACGGCCATTATTTAGAGGAAGAGGGAGAAGTTGGAGAGGACAGGGAAATGCCTAATGAGTTCAATGAAGAAGATCTTATAATTGGTCCAATTACTGGGATGCGGTTCAGTAGTAAGGATGTTCTGTTTGATTTTTACAAAGAACATACAAGATTATCGGGTTTTTGCATTGTCAAAAGAACTTCCAACAAAAAAGGTGGTGATATTGTTAGGTATGTGCAATATGGTTGTGATAGGTCTAGGAAACCAAGGAATAAGCATGTTACCAAGAGGAAGAACTGCCGTGCTAGAATAAATGGAATTTTGGAGGAGAATGGTTCATGGCGTGTTTCAAAGGTGGTAAAAAAACATAATCATCAATTGGAACCAGCACTATCGCGATTGATGGCTGGACACAGATCGCTTAGCAAGTCTCTTAAGAGAACTCTTGCAGCCAAAGATATTGCTGGCTTAAGACCCTCAAAAAATATAAGAGTCGCTGAAGTACTTGCTGGTGGCCCCGAAAATCTGGGTTGTACACCAAAGGACTGTAGAAATTATATCTTGAAGAGTAGAAAGCTTCAGTTGCAAGAAGGGGATGCACAATCATTACTCAAGTTCTTCAATGACATGCAGCAAAAAGATAGGGAATTTTACTACTCCATAGATGTGGATAGTTTTGGTCGACTTCGTAATGTCGTATGGGTTCATTCACACTCTAAGGTTGCATATGAGGAGTTCCATGATGTAATATGCCTTGATACCACATACCTTGTGAATCGATACAATATGCCATTTGCTTCATTTGTTGGTGTCAATCAGCATAGGCAGTCCATACTTTTGGGATGTGCTCTTATGTCTAGTGAGGATATAACAAGTTACAAAATGGTGCTATCTACATGGCTTGGGGCTCTAAACATG